AAACTTACCAGCAAGAATGAGAAAAATTAGGTTTTAGTTATCAAGAAACTAGGAAATGAATAGAAATCGGACTTAAACCTGAAGATGGTAAAACTGCTAAGGAATGAAAAGATAATGATTTTTCTCTTAAAGAAATCAAAAGTTTAATTGAGATTGGGTTCAATCCTCGATATGAGTGACGGCAGATTAAAAAGCAAAAAGAACAGGGGCTTTCTGTTCAAGAAATCAGTGAATGAATTAAAGCTGGTTTTAAGTTGGCTGATATTGAAAGTTTTAAGGGGTGAAAGGAAAAAGGTTTTAGTGTCAAAGAAGTTAAGGAGTGAGTCGATAACGGTTGAGAACAATGGCATGGTCAAGACGCGGCAGAGAGATGAAAAAAACATAGTTTTGATGCTAAAGAAGCGAGAGAATGAATTAATTCGGGGTTAACCTCCGATGAATATAAGTTGGTCTTTCAGTTACGAAAGGACGGTTATCAATCAACTGATGACAATATTAAAGAGATTATCAAAACTTACTCTTGAAAAGATGTCCACTTCAAATTTAATTTTGAGTTAAGAAAAATTTGGGAAGAATCAGGTATTACCAAGGAAAAAACTAAGGAATGAGTAACTATTGGTTTTGAGCCAAGCGATTGTCTCAAAGTTAATGCATGAATAAGTGATGGACTCACTACTAAGCAAGTTGAAGAGTGAATAAAGGTTGGTTTTTCAACGGATGAGTGAGAATTTGTTTCTTATTTAGAGAAAAATGGTTTTACTCCTAAACAATATTCTAGTTTTGCTAGTAAAAACGCTCAAAAATGATTAGATTATTTTTTTCCTCTGAAAAAAAGAAAGGAATTAAGCAGTTTGAACATTAGTAAGAAAAATTTAGAAGGCTCTTTGAATTTAGTCGACTTTGCTAATTTAGATAGGTTAGATTGTTCCTGCAATTCACTCACTAAGATTGATATTTCCAACTGTCGTAATTTAAAGATAGTTTACTGTCATGACAATGAATTAGAAAGTTTGGATATTAGCACTTTAACCAAACTGCAGGAAATTGATTGCGCCAACAACGAGTTAACTAATTTAGATTTGCGTGGTTGTCAAAACATAGTTAAATTTAGTTGTGCTGGTAATTTCCTTACCGAGATTGATCTTTCCTCTTTAGATCCAGAGAAATTGGAAGTGCTAGTTTTAGCAAGTAATAACTTATCAGAAAGGGATCTAACTTACTTTAGTCATTTTACTAACTTAACCACATTGCAAATTGGAAACTTACAAAAAGCAAGAATTAACTACCAAAATATTTATAATCGTTTTATTGGTTCTTTAGAACCTTTGAAGAATATAAATAAACTAAAATTTTTAGATGTTTCTAATACCGATATTGAATGAGGATTAACATATTTACCTGCCAATCTTGAAATATTTCATTGTTTTGCAGAAGGGAGGCCAGGAAGCAAAACAAAAAATCTTATCAAACAGATTCATGCTTTATATAGAGATGCACCTCATAATTTCCCTCTTGTCTTTCGCGAAGTTTTTATTTCTACTTTAGAAGACGAGAGAAAAAAAGTCGAAGATGAAAAAGATTGAGAAGACATTCATTCAGAACTTGATTTTTTTATAAAAAAAATGTGACAAGGATTAGGTTTTGACTACAAAGAGACGAAAGCTTGAATCGATATTGGTCTGTCCCCTTATGAGGCCGCCTTTGCTAATTATTTGAAAGGAAAAAATAAAGCTCCTGGGCAAAATTTGGCTTTTGGTGAGATTGAGGAGGAAAGAAAAAAGTACGATAGGCAGGAAAATATTTGTAATGATCATGACTTGAAACAATCAATTTCACTGTCTAACGATGAAGACTATTTTCGATGACTGAGGGTTGTTAAAAAAAACGCTGAAAAATTTTTTAGCACGGCTGAAGAAAGCGGGTTGAAAGAAGAATATAAGCATTTTTTGAAAGAAGTGGAAGAAGAACATAAACTTGGTGCAGAAATTATTGAAAAGTTAATGTATCTTAATCACAAAAAATTAACTCTTAAACAAGCATTATTGATTGACCAATTAATATCTAATGAAAAGTTAAGAGAAAGATACAAAAAGTATGGATTATGTGCAGAGTGTAATCAACCTAACACCAGTTATGATACTACCTCCGGAGTCACTTGATGCCAGGCTTGCAATGCCAAACGCTTTCAAGCCGAATTTAAAAACTGAACTAGTGGTAATAAAGAAATAGATGAGTTTATTCAACAATCTCAATTAAAAGCAGTTAATTACTCACAAGCATTAGAGTGAATACCTTATGATAGATTTGAAAGTATTGAATATCTAGGAGCCGGCGGTTTCAGTATTGTTTCTAAAGCCAGATGGACTGACGGCTATATTGAATATTGGCGTATCGCAAGAAAAGAATGAAAAAGAAATGCTATATGGGTTGCTTTAAAAACGTTAAAAAATTCTCAAAATATTAAGGGTGATTTCTTGAAAGAAATTACTTATCATAACCTTTTTGATAATTCGGACGTTAATGAGCGCGTTGTTACTTGTTTTGGAATCTCCCAAGATCCCGAAACTAAGGATTACGTGATGGTCACTCATTATATTATTGGTAGTAATTTGAGAAACTATTTAACCGGTAATTACAAAGTAAGTATTGCAGTTGGAGACTATGAAGGTTTAGTTAATGCGTTTCGCAATTACAGAGTAAGTTTTACTGATAGGTATAATCAACTAACCACTACCCTTATAGCATTAAATTCGATTCACAACAAGGGATTGGTCCATAAAGACCTTCATCCTGGCAATATATTAGTTCGTAATTACGGAGACAATGTTGCAGAATGCTATATCACTGATTTAGGTTTGTGCCGTCCGGTCAACGAAGAAGATAAAGGCAAAATTTTTGGTGTCTTGCCCTATGTGGCTCCAGAGGTGCTAAAAGGAGAGCAATATACTCAAGCATCTGATGTATATTCTTTTGGTATTATAGCTGCTGAGATATTTTCTGATTTACCTTCTTATCATGATCAAAGACATGACAATCAGTTGGCAATAAAAATTTGCCAAGGATTACGCCCTCGGTTTAAATTTAAGATCCCGAAGTTGTTAGAAGACTTAATTAGGAGATGCTGAAATACAGATCCTTCTCTTCGCCCAAAAACCAGTGAGTTAAATGAAACTCTGCGAGACTGGACTAGGGAATGAATTCATAGAAAAGGCACTGAATTTGCTCGGCAAATGAAAGAAGCTGAAAAATATAATAAAACTTTACCAGATGAAATAAAATTTTCTAAGTATGAAAAACATTCGGAGGCAGTTTATGTCAGCAAACCAATAAACACCAAACAAATCGCCCAACTATTCCAGGAATCTGAAGAGAAAGCCCTAGAACTAGAAATAAAAAAAATAGAGCAAGAAATAGATCAACCGCTTACTATGAAAAACATAATGAGGAATATTTAGAAGCAAAGTCCGAGCAGGGAATTAAGCTTTCTCCTGCTGAACTAGCGAAAAGATTAATAACTAATGAATGAATTGTCGAATTTGTACAGAAACTAGATAAAAAGGAACTTAAATTCGGCAAAAGATATGATAATTGAGTCTACTATCCTTATGAACCCCTCTGAAAATATGGTCTTAGTTATTGTCTAATTATCTGTTTGGAGGATAATAAAAATTATATAGAGATAGTAGATTGTTATCGAGAAAGTAAATATGAACGACAAAAATGAAGAAATAAAAATTATAAATATATGAACAAATTTCAAAAAGTAACTAAAAGTCATCCTCCGCAAGAGGTAATTAATAAAATTCGGGCGGAATTATCAGCACCAGATTTTCCGAATAAAAATATTGGCTTGGGGGAAAATCCCACTGCCGAGGAAAAATTTAAATACGAAATTTGTCAGAGTATTGCTCGTTATAAGAGAGTAAATAAATTGTCCTCCCAAGAAGTGGTAGTGCGAATAGAAGTTAGCCAAGACCAATTAAACGACATTCTTTACGGTCGCATCTCTCATTTTAGCCTGAATGAATTAGTAAATTATTTGGAAAAGTTGCATGTCCCTTTTCAAATCTCTATTAATAATGAAGAAAAAGCCAGCAAAAGTGCTTAGACATTCATTATAATATATTTCTAACCCCCATTCCCGCTCCACTCTAATCAGCAAATTAGCAGCTAACAAAAAACAACCCCATTAGCAGCTAACAAGCAGCCCACCACCACTCACCAATTTGCCCAGCAAAATTTTTACAATTAAATGAGCGAGCAGAGCGAGCGAGGTCTTGCTAAGTCATAATAAGCATACGACGAAAAAATTTTTTTTCCAGGAGCGATGCTTTAATGCCTGGTAGCGACGCCGAAAAAAATTTTCTAATGAAGATGCTATAAAAAGACGGAGAAAAGTCTAATCACCAGTTGAGTAGTCAACTAAGTGAGAAGGAGCAGGAGGTGGAAAGGGTGAGATTGGAAACTGAGATTAAGAGTAATTTAGTGAGGGAACAAGGAGAAAAAATTAGTCAACAAACTAACCAGTTAACTAATTATCAAAATCTTTTAAGAATTGCGGAAGAGAATTTGAAAAAGGCACAAGAGATTATTCAGCAAAAAGAGCAGCAATTAGAGCAATTGGAGGAAGAGAAAGAAAGCATCCAGCAAGAGTTAGCAAAAGCAGAGGATAAAATAAAGGAATTGGAACAGACTTTATTGGCGGCTAATTCTAAAGTAGCACAATTGGAAACAAGAATTGGGGAGTTGGAGAATAATAACAGCAATTCCGAAGAATTAGAGAAGTTGAAAAAGGAATTAGCGGAAGAAAAGAAAAAAAGTCAGCAGGGGAGGAGTAAATCCCAAGCAGAGATAAAAAGATTGCGGAGTGAATTGGCAGCAACTAAAAAACGGGAGGAGGAATTGGCGGGAAAGATTAAAGAATTAGGGAAAAAGCAAGCCAAAACCCAAGAAGTAGTAAAAAAAAGTTTTTGAGAGACTGTTAAGACTCCCGTTTTTTATGGGGTAGGAATAGCGATAGTGGTGATTGTTTTAGGTTGAATTTGGAGTAAATTAGAGCAATAAATTATGTTCGGTAAACTATTTTTATTATTAATAATTTTGTTAGTGGTATGGATTATTAGTTGGTTTATTCCGCCATCAACTAAAAATGATAAAAAGACTGAGGAAACTAGTGAGTGAGAAAAGGAGAAAGAACGGGCTAAAAGAGAACAAGAGGCAGAACAAAATAAAGAGTGATTTTCTGAAAAAAGATGACTAACTGATAAGGAAATAGATTGGGCTTGTGAGAGGATGGAAAAAGATGAGAGGTTTAAAATTTTGCCTGCTCATCAATTTCACTTAGTTAAGGAGGCTAAGAGAAAAGATGATCCGTTGATTTTTAAAGAATTATTAACTGAGATAAATGATGATAGTAAAGAACTAATTTTTATACCAGTAAATCAGCCTAATTATCATTGGAGTCTATTAGTGTATGAGGTGAAAGAGAAAAGATTTTGGCATTGGGATACTTTGGGTGGGAGTAATTATGGGTATGTAGAGCCGTTGGCGAAGGAATTGTTGGAGCAGATTAGACAGATTAGGAATATTAAGGAGGAATGTTTAGAGAAGTTTTTAATTAAACAGCATGATCTGAGGCAAAATAATGGTTGGGAGTGTGGAATTGCCGTGATTGCTATTGTGCGACGGATTATTGAGTTAAAGAATCAGAGTTTGGTGGAGAGGTTGAAGTATGGGAGTTGACGGTGTGGGGATGATTTGGGGGAGATGGATTTTGAGGGGGAGAGGAGGGATTTAAGGGAAAGGTATTTGGCAGAGAATGAGTAACTTTTTTGCCTAATAAACAACTCCTTTGTTACTTACTAGATAGGGGAGAATAAATTACCCTTTTTTAATTATCCCAATTAATTTGTTTAGGCAAAGTTGGACTAAGGATTTGGGTTTCTTGTTGTTGATTTTGTAAATCTTCTAACTCTATTTGTGATTTAGTTAAATCAATTTGGGCTTGACAAAGACTATCTAATTCAGTTTCAAATTCTTTATGGCCATGTCTAAAAGCAATTGCCAATAATTCCTTGCGTAGAGAAACTAATTTTTCTTGCCTTTCAACCGTATCACCTAAACGAACAATCTCGGATTGAGCTTTTAAGAGATTATTGATCATTTCTTCTCGCTCTTTGTTTCTTTTTTCTTTTTCCTCAGAAGATCATCTTTTGCTTTTTAGTTTATCCTTGACCGAGTTGGTTAGTTCGTTTAAATGGCTTTTTAACTTCTGAATTTTAGTTTGAATATTTTGCTCTTTAAGTACAAGGTTTGCATATTTTCTACTGATTTTGAGCCTATCAAATTGTTCTTCTCACTCAGGTTCTAATTCATCTTTTAGGTTCTTATTAAGAGAAGTTATGGCCGCTTCCATTTTTTCCAGACTTAAATACCTTTCTTTTCAAACCCCGTCATTAATGAGAATATCAAAGATTTCATATTTTTTCTCAAATAACTTGGCCTTTCCGTCTCTTAGTCGTCTAGTTTTCAAGCCTAGGAGATTATTAACTTCCTCATTTTCTTGAATAAGTTCGATTAAAGAATCATAAATCTGATTAAGACGCTCTAATTCTTTTTCGTCGGATAGAGAAATTTGAAATTCTTTATTGCCTTTTTCGGCAATTACTATTTTGGAGAAATTGTTACCCGCTACGATTACTTCTCCTACTGCTTTCGGAATACCAAAAGTTATTACATCAGTGATCGATCCTCCCATATTGCCGATGGCGTCACCTATTTCGCTAACCACAGCATTTCTTCTACCAAATTTATCTCATTTGTTATAACATTCTTGTAATTCCTCAATGGTCTCCCTACGAGCGTTAAGAAAAACTGACTTGGTTTTTAAAAAATCAATGGTTTTTTTGTAAATAGGAGTTTGGGCAACTGACTCACTTAGTTTTTGAATTTTGCCCTGTCTTGCTTCTGCTCGAGCCTTGGCTGCAACTAACTCTTTTTCTAAGGTTCAGATTTTGGCTTTTGATTCAGTTAACTTAATTTCTAATTCTCCTCTTAACTCTTTTATTTCTTCTACAGATAGCCGTAAACTGGAAGTTAGTTCTGTGGTTTTTATTTCGGTACTATAGAAAGAAGGAGCGTTCTTTTTTCTGTTTTCTATCTCAGAATTTAACTCATTTACTAATTCTTCCTGGTTATCTTTGGAAAGCGAAACTAAGATTTCTTTGAGAAAGTTTTTTAGATTTTCATATTTTTGCTGAGAAGTATCTAGTTGTGCGAACAAAAATTTTTTTTCTTCCTCTAAAGTCTGAACATTTTCATTCGATTTTTGAATTATTTTTCTATAAGGCTCTAACAT